TGGTTGGTGGCTCGTCCCTAAAATGGCCCCACATCGTGCGCTGCACCTACCAAGCAGAGACAATAAATGCTTTTACTGTAATTTACACTGAGGACAACATGTTCTTCTTACCCCTCTCCCTCAACAAGCATCAAGAAGCTCATCATTTTCAGACTCTGAGTCATTTCCACCATGTTGCGACTAAGTCATCTGGCACACCAAACACCTCACGCTGCGTCCCTCCCATCGCCAGCAAAGCCCTTCAGCTCTCTCGCTGCGACGAGGCAGGATTTCCCCAGGCCTTCCGCCTTCCACCGCTACGTGCACAACTTCTGCCAAGTCCTCCAGCACAGGAGGGGCCCACACAACCCATTTTATTTGGAGCCAGCTGGGATTGCCAGCGATGGGGCTCTGGGCCCTCCCCCTGCTAGCCAGGGCCTCGTCCATGCTGAAGGCCACGTGGCTACTACGCCTTCACAGCCCTTCAGACCTCCGCTGGCCCCCTCGCAGCCCGCCGGCCTGTGCTACCGTGTCGCTGACTTCTGCGCGTAGTGGGTACCTGGCAGGCAGGTGACCAGCACCTGCAGACAAGAGAATAAACATCAGGGGCCCGGCTACTCTGTTCCTTCTACCAGCGAAAACTGTACAGTAGTAGCATAACACACCCAAGAATCTTTAAGAGAAAACCCCAGTGTAACCACAGCGTAACATCTGCAGTGTGCTTACTTTCATCTTTACTGATTTTACGGTTAAGTCTTTTCTCCCCTTAGTACTGTTTTTGTAAACGTTTTCCCCCTTTGATCTGCTTGAGAGTAGTTGTAGAAAAGCTGTTTCATCTCACTGCTATTGTCAAGTGTCAGGTTCTGCTTTGCGTGATGTACGTGAATTATTCTCGCTTGTGTAGTGCCAGAGATCGGTTAGGTGAACAGAAGTAGGTCTCTGTTCCTGCCACTCTTCAGCCAGGTAAGAAAGTGCTGTTTAATGGAATTACACACATTTGGATTCCAAAGAAACACGGGTAAACGACGCTACCCAAAATGCAAGTTCATGTGAACAGCGATGTTTTAGTGGGTATTTAGGAGAGAAGAAAGGTGGAGCAAAAAGCAGGAGGCAGAGAAGGCAGCAAAGAAGCATCAGGCAGATACAATTCATCATCAGTGAACTACTAGTCAGCGCTCCCGAGAGCAATTCGAGAGCAATTCAATCCATTCATGACAAATTATCTCCAGATTACAGCCACAAGGTGGGAACAACCCTGCTGGGTCAGGGCAAAGGTCCATTTAATTCAATAGCCTGTCTCTGACAGTCAGCAACAGCAATGCCTACGGAAGAGTTACCAGAATGGAATAAGCACATAGGGGCATTTCCCTGATACGCCCTTTTTGCCTCAAGGGGTTTGCACCACAGCAATTTCCTGGAATATGGATTCTTTCGGCTTAGCAGTTCTTCGTGGACTTTTGTTCTATTAAATTTAATCGTTCCTTGAACCCATATAAAATTTGGCACCTGTGCGATCCTGTGCTGATGAGTTCCACAATTTAGCTCTGTTCTGTGGAAAAATACATAATTTTGTTTTATTTTGAATTTGCCATTTGAAAATTTCACATCATGCTCCCTTCTTCTGACTGTAAACACAAAGATCAAAATATTCATGCCCTCCATGTCATTTGCGATTTTACAGACTACTGTTGAATCCTCTGTCAGCCATCTCCTTTTTCTAGATGAAAAGTCCTAATCTTTTTAGTCTTAATATAAAACCAGTTCCATACCCTTGATCATCCTTGATTTAGGATGGGGACATGAATGACACAAAACTCTCAAAATGCATGCTGCCATATCTACCTTTAATTTGCTTTTTTCCCCTCTGTTTCTTTTCCTAATAATGCCCAGTGTTCTGTTTCCCAGTTTGACTGTTCTTGAGCACTAAACAGAACTGATATTTTTACAACCCATCTAATTCCAAGATTTCTCTCCTGAAAGGTCATTCATAACCCATCACTGTTTATACCAATTTAGCATTTTTTTTTTGCCATGTGCATAATTTTAAACTTGCAGACATTATTATATGTTATTCTGACAACTGTGTACTCAATTTCACAAGGTCCTTCTGCAAGTTGCAGCTAGCTCTCGTGTGGCTGAATTGTTTAACACCATTACCCCGGAGATTTTAGTCTCATCAACCAACTTCACCCTTATCTCTTATTTGTCTCCATTTCCCCCAACATTTTCTCAATTGCACAGACACTCTCTCTCTTCTGTTTCTTGTCTTTTAACCAATTGATGAGAGCAACCATAAAAGCACCTTTCTTATGGGAGCTTATTTTCTATGAGCCTTTGGTGAAGGACCTTGTCAAGTCCTTTGAAAATCCAAGTAGGTTGTATCAACTGGACCTCAATGGTCTGCATGTTCATTGCATCCTTCAAAGAAGTTTCTAAATAGCCGGGTCAGGATTTCCTTTCAGAAAAGTCATGCTGAGTCTCCCCCTCAACGTGAAATGGATAACATGGATCTTTCTGCATTCTTTATTACAGGTTCTACAGTTTCTCCACACTCACTTCAGTATCCTGAATCTCTCTAGAACGAAAGCTGTTTGAAAGCAATTTTACCATTTCCAGACCAGAACAGTATTGTGCTGTGAGCCCTTTTTCTGCATCATGCTCCACCATACAGATGCATTTCAAGTTATCCTCAAACTACTGCCAACCATTGAGGTACAGAGCAGAATCCGTGGCCTGGGCATAACTAAGAAGTAGGGAAGGAAAGGGAAAGGAGAAATGTTATCTGAACTACAAAGCATTTGTGCAAAGCCAAAACACCAAGTTAGCTGATACATATTAAAAAGAGACCTTTTTACTGATAGTCAAGCTGGCCCTGAACTTGCAAATAAAATTCAGAAAAAGGAGACCGAAACTCAGGGAAGCTACAGCACTTACCTCAAAACTTGCATTTTGCCGCAACACCCCAAAACCAGAAATTGCCATTAGTAAATGTGCCATACAGACCCATTTTTGCAGTGTTGGCTTGCACTGCCTCAGTTTAGTTACGCTTCCTTATGTAACACTGCATAAGTTAGAATGCAAGGGACATAATTGACTTTACCTCTACTGATTCAATCACTTGCACTGATCCATCAACAATAACATAAATTTTCTACATGCTGAGTATTTCATTCCCATAAAACAGGCCATTGTTCATTTCTGCGCTAGATTTTCCACTAATGCAAAGCATTCTGTGAACGCTTGACAGCACTGTTAAACTTTAGAAGTTTTAATGAGTAAGTTTTTCACGGGTATGAGAGAATTAGGTAATTTATATGCTTTGAGTCCAAAGTGTTTCCACAAGTTCTAGAGATTCACAAGATGAACAGGAGCTGTGATACCTGGGGCCCCAGGGGCAGATTATGTTTGTAGAGCAGCCACAAAAACCTGGGATTAGTATGTTCCATTACCTTTGCTGGTCTGCACAGAAGCCGTGCAGAAGAGCACAGCATTCATGCTTGCTGTGGGCTCCTGAGTGTAATTTTTGCAGAAAACTTTTCAGATTTTTCAATTGTGCACATTATCCAAACCAGAACTGAATAAACTCACGTTTTAGCCACAGAAATATGAGGAACTACCATTAGTAGTTTTGGCAAAATGAATTATTGGCAAAATAAAAAGGCTCTATGATACAAAGCCAAACAGGGAATTTTGAAGGAGGCAGCTTGCGTAAATCCATAATTCTACAAGGAATGAAGGGCAGAAGCCCATAGCTTGATACACTTTCAAAAGTTTCCTCTTATAACTCCAATCTGCAGAAAGAGGGTAGGGTAAAGGCAGGTAGAAACCAGGTTTTCCATTTAAGAGAAAGCTGGGGTTTGGAGATTTATTTTTTTTTTTTCCTTCTGAAATGGAATGAAAACTTCATGTAGGAAAATGTGGGGAAAGCAATTTTGATTCAATCGAAAGGTATCATTTTGACAAACTTTGTGTTTCAATTTGATTTTGATCTTTTCAAATGTTCCCAGCTTTTTGTAATATACACCCTTTTGAAATGTGTTCCAACTTTGTACTAAAACTCAATCATGCTTAGTTTCTGCAACTGCACAAAAGTACATCGGCACAAATATTTAAAATAAGGAAACATCAACTTTCATCTAAAATATTCTTCAGTGAAAACCTGTGACTGATTTCAGTCCCAAAACTAAAACTCTTCAGAACAATTTAGAAGGTAATGGCAGGACATGATCTCCATATAGTTGCCTTGCAGAACTGGGAATACAGTTGTGGAAAGTTTTTAAAGTGAGGGAAAGAAAAACCTTTGGATGAGAATCAGGTTGGCGTCGTAGAAATTCCCTAATAGGAAAAAAACCCAGTATTATGTATATGTGTTATATGTGTTCATATATGCACAAAATATTAGCTTAAGATCATTTTTTACATTATTTTTATTTCAGAGAAGGACAGGTCATTTAGAGTGTTGTCATTTTGGGCTACAACAGAATGACAGGAGAAGCTGAAAAAATAAGCCTTAAACATAGAAAGCGATGGTTGCAATTACTAGTCATTTTGGAAAAGGAGAAGAAACAGGATTCTTTGCAGAAACTGAAAGATAAAGGCACAGTGGCCTCTCTCATAGTCAAAGGCACATGTTACCTTGCAGAAGGGCTTGAGTGAGATGCAAGGTTTCAGTGAATGTTATTTTTTTTGTGGCAGCACCTTCTCCTGGTGCTTATTTCCTCATTTCCACCCTCATGCCATTTTTCCACCTCTTTGGATATGCCAGCTCCGCTGTGTACAGGCTCTGCTGTAAAATGGATTAGTAGAGTGATCTGGGTTTAAAAAACCCAAACAAAAAGCATGGGAGTAGGAAATAGTTGTTGTAGATGCTAAAGGGTGGGAAGCTGGCACCCTCACAAAGAAGTAGACTGCATAATAACGCTCTTGGAAAGAAACATTAAAAAACAAGAGAGAAGATAAAGGGGAAAGCAGCCTCAGAACACCTGACAACCAGGAACACTAAAAACATGGCTGAAAGGAAAAGGCCTGCATGTGTGAGGGTAATTGGAACCAAATAAACACGTCTCCTGCCCTTTCATTCCCACTCGCTC